TCAAGAAGAGGCTTGGGTGGGAACACAAAGCCAAACTGTATCATCAACTAAAAAATGTTTGGCCAAATAGCTCAGTAATGTGGCCTAGACAAGTTGACACATACTTAACCATCACAAATGAAAACAACCTAAATCCCTCTACCAACAGATGAATGGATAAACAAAAGATGGTATATTCATACAATGAAATATTATTCAGCCTTAAAAAGGAAGGATATTTTGGCACATACTACAACATGGGTACTTGAAGACATTTTGCTAAATGAAATAAGCTAAACATAAAAGAATAAATATTCTATAATTCCACTTATATGAAGTACCTAGAATAGTCAAATTCATAAAAATAGAAAGTAGAATACTGTTTTCAGAGGCTGATAAAGTAAGAGGTACAGGGATTTATTGTTTAATGTGTATGAAGTTTTAGTTTGGGAAGATGAAAAATGTCTGCAGACGGATGATGGTGATGGTCACATAACAGTGTGAATGTACCTAATGTCATTGAACTGTATACTTAAAAATGGTTGCAATGGTCAATTTTATGTTATTATACATTTTACCACAATTAAAAAAGAATTATGGCCGAGGCAGGTGGATCACTTTGGGAGGCCGAGGCAGGTGGATCACTTGAAGTCACGAGTTTGAGTCCAGCCTGACCAACATGGAGAAACCCCATCTCTACTAAATATACAAAATTAGCCAGGCGTGGTGTCACATGCCTGTAATCCCAGCTACTTGGGAGGTTGAGGCAGGAGAATCCCTTGAACCCAGGAGGTCGAGGTTGCAGTGAGCTGAGATCGTGTCATTGCACTCCAGCCTGGGCAACAAGAGTGAAACTCTGTCTCAAAAAAAAAAAAAAAGAATTGCTTACATGTACAGGCTTTACTGTGAGCCAGGCAACACATTAAATGCTCTCCATGGATTTCCTCATGTAATGCATATGAGTATCCCCATATTACAGGTAATAAAACCTTCTAGATGAAGTGTCTTGCTCAAGGCTACATTATTAAGAATCAGACCTGAAAATCAAACCCTCACAGCTTCACTTCAAAGCCTGCATGCTTAGTCACTAGGACATACTGATAAGAGCAACAACATTAGATAAAGAGCAAACTAAAACTTTTTTCAAATATTTTAAAGTTGATTCAATACACAAAATATTTAAGGAATGAATTCCCAATAAGGTAGATGCCAAATCCAGAATGGGTATGATTAATAACTATACACCAAAAATAGCCCTTCATTGACAGTCACCATGAGAAGTACTTAGCCCAAAACCACAGCATCTCCGGAAATAAGAAGAGAAAGCGGTATGCCCCAAAAGTAAGAGTGGAATGTTTACCTAGCATCTGCCCCATTTTCCCACAAGTCTTGGGACATTTCATAGTTTTTCTATTTATTTTTTAAAATAAAAACAGTGTGATCACAACTTCCTTTTTCAAAGGGGACAGTCATTCAATTGACATGTATCGATTGTCTATTAGACAACCAGGTGCTATGTGGGTTTTGTCCAAACAAGGTGAAAAGACAGAGTGCTTGCCTGCAATGAGATCCACGTGTCTCTGGTTTCCACGTTTCATAGACAAGATTCATGTTGATATTCTGGCCCCTCCGGGCAAGTTTTATCAACTCAATCTCTCCAAGCATGCCCTTTCTCCAATGATCTTCCTTCCATGTACTTCTCAACTATCACCACAGCAAACAAGAGCAGTCATCGCTGTATTATACCCAAGGTAGTGCAGCCTGTTGGTTAAGGCTTGGGCTCCAAAGTTAGACTGGGTCTGCACCTGCCACCTGTTCATTGTGTGATCTTGGGCAAATTTCTTAACCTGCCTTTGTTTCTGTCTCCTCAGCTAGAAAAACAGGACACAAATAGGTACCAACCCTCACAAGATGGATGTGAGGATGACATGAGCATCATCAGAACGTCCACCACGTATTAAGTGATCAGAAAATATTAGTCATAGATGTATCAAATAGCCATCTGTGAATAACGGACTGTTCCAGGGATCAGGGGAGAATAATAAATGATCATCCAAGGGAAAGGGGGCCTTAGAGATCATTTCACAGATGATGGCAAGGAGGACCACGAGGGCTCAGTGTCTTGCCTGAGGTCACACAGGTGGTCAACAGCAGTACCGGGCACAGCTCCCTACCACAGAACAACATTCTCACAGAAGAGAAAGCAACGGAACTTCAAATTGACCCTCCACTTAGGTGCATATTACAGTTCTTGTCTATTTCAGTAATTGTAAATTATGAAGTTACATGTTTTACAATATAAGTAGATGATTCTATCAACAGGATGAGAAAGAGCTACTCGGCACACACTATGGGTGTATATGAGGATGGGGAGGGTTGTAACAATCACATCCATGTTAAAGACTTTAGGGCATGGCCAGTTAACAAAAAGTAGCCTGGGTAACTGCCCTGAGCACCAGACCACTTCAGCAGAGCTCCAAGATTGCCACCACAGAATGAGTCCAGAACATAGGACCCAGACCCACTGCCTATCCCTGCCTGCCCATCTCCTTGGATGGAAATTACAGAAGCAGTGAAGCAGATGGGAGGGGAATGCTGGGCAAGAGAGGAGACTACATCCCAGAGATGGATTATTCCAGAAACACCTCTTCTGTGTAACTGCTGCCGGTTCAGCTTGCCATCTCCCCACCAATCTATCTCCCAAGCCTGTCTTTCTTTATCAGGTAATTCATGCTACACCTTCGTACCTTTCCAAACTTCCCTTGAACTAACCTCCCACAGATTATCCCAATGTCCCAACATCCCCAGGATAGCTCCTCACTTTCCAGACACAGTGCCTTTGCCCCTGTGTCTCCTTCCTCCTGAAATGCTCCTGCTGCTCTATAATCCCTTCCTTTCCTCCCATTCCAAAACTGTTTGGCAAAACCCATTCCCAGAAACGTAAGCCCTTCCGTGAAGTTATCCTACAACAGATGGCCTTTTCCTGTCCCCTGCACTTCCAGAACCTTCTAGATCTTCCTAAGATGATCAATTCTACCTCACTCCTAGTTCAAGACTCTCTCTCCTTGACAGCCTCATATAATGCTGGCTAGCAAGTGGTCAGCACTCAGTTAATACCAGTTGCTAGAGCAGAAGTCAGAATGGCAGCTGGGGAAACTGACGTGCAGCAGCGCAGGCTGGGAAGGAAGGCACAGAGAGTGAGTACAACAGCAAAGGCATACTATGGGACTATGGGGCAGAACTATTCCAAGTGTATCATGTACGCTAAGTCAGTCCTCAAGACAACCCCAGGATGAGGTAGGTGCCATTATTATTAGCACATTACAGCAGAGGAAACTGACAGCAGAGGAGGAAACTCTCCATGTTACAGAGGAGGAAGCTGAGACACAGAGGGGCTGAGTAACTTGCCCGAGATAAGTTACTGTGGGGCTGTGAATTGAACCTGGCCACCTGGCTCTTCACATTGCTTTTTTGCAGCACTGTTCCTCTAAGCCTGCCTTCCTCCAAATCACTTCAGCTGCTCCACTACTTTGTATGCATTACTTTTCTGAACCAGAAACACACTCTGCAACTTTTAATTCTCATGCTACATTCCCATCTACTGCTTTCTGAGCCAGAAATTAAAGATACATTCTATCCAGCTCTCCCATGACAGTAAATAACATATGACAAAAGTCTCAAATCGAAAACATTGCCTAAACAGAGGGGATTATAGATGTTTCAGATGGAGTGGGCCTCAGGCCACTCACCCGACTTAGTATTTTTCATCATTCTATTTCTAAATCCTGAAATGTATACTGGAACTATCTGCAAGCATGTACATATAAAAATTGCATATTATTTTCATAGAATTATTGTTTTAATATACAATTATAAGGTTGAGCACTGTGGCTCACACTTGTAATCCCAGCACTTTGAGAAGCCAAGGCAGACAGATCACCTGAGGTCAGGAGTTTGAGACCAGCCTGGCCAACATGATGAAACCCCGTCTTTACTAAAAATACAAAAATTAGCCAGGCTTGGTGGCAGGCGTCTGTAATCCCAGCTACTTGGGAGGCTGAGGCAAGAGAATCACTTGAACCCTGGAGGCGGAGGTTGCAGTGGGCCGAGATTGCACCATTGCATTTCAGCCTTGGCAACAAGAGTGAGAATCTGTCTCAAAAACAAAATATATATATGCGGCATATAGAAAGTATATATACCATAGTATATGTATAGTATACGTATACTCTACACATATAGTATATGTATACTCTACATATACATATACTATGGTATATATACTTTATATATATGTATAATCTACATATACTGTAGTATATATACTTCATATAATGTACTGTGTATTATATAAATACACAATTATAAGCTTATGAACACAGAAAGTGGCCTGTCACATGTTTAGTTTTTTTGGGTTTTTTAAAACAATTATAAAGGAATTCAGGTATCCCACTATGGATAGGAGAGCACCAAAAAGACATCTGTTTGACTTGCAACTACCTCCAGATTTAAGTGAAAAATCCAGCAACTACCTACATAATACCGGTTTTACATAATTTATATTAAACATCCTATTAATGGAAGCAAAAGTGCTAATTCTGAATAGGTCAGATAATTTTCTCAATCTCCCATCAAAACAGCCCGAGTCGGGGACAGAAGACGATTTTGGCTTTACAAATGTGCACAGTATTTTCACAGAAAGAAAATAGAGATATAAATTTATCAATAGATTCCATTTTGGAGTTAGAGGTTTACAACAGGATGCCAGTCAAATTTCTGTTCCCAGGAAATTTAAAACTAGTGCACCAAAAAAAAGAAAAGAAAAATTTAATACCAAACCAAAAAATTTTAAATTAAAATTTTAGCGAAACCGAAGAGAAGGGAGCGAAGGGTCCAGTTTGTGGCACCAAGTGTTATTTTTCTCCCCTGGCTGAAGAGAAAGCTGGTGAGAACAGCAAAAAGACACAGGATAGAGAGCACGGCAAGAGAAATATGATATCCAGCATGTATCCAAAACTTACCCAACTTGGTCTGTTTACTCAACACTTTATTTTTCCCACTTTGCCAGTTTAAGATCAGACAGCGGCTAGGCTTTTGTTGTTGCTGTTTCTGTGCTTTTGATCCAGAGCCCCATGAAAATTAAACTGTGTGTTGGATGGGATCTGGCCACGTCTCGCATTAGGGGGAAAAAGTTTTAAACTTCTGGGTCCCTGGTTGCTTCTCTGGGAGAACGAATAAATAGTAAGTGGCGAGAAGGAACGGACGTGGGGGACGTGCTCGGCTGACGTCGGCCCGCGAGGGGGCCGCAAAGCTCCTCAACACAGCTGTCCAGATGTGCTTCATCGGTTTCCCTCGCGGGGCACGGGCCTCGGCAGCCGCGGCTGGCACAAACCCCAGCTCATTGGTGGCCGCGGCTCCTCGCTTGCCGCCGATTGGCCGGACGGCCCGCCACTCCTGAAGGCCTCGGGCCCGCCCCTCCCGCAGGCCCGCTCGCTGCATCCTCTGAGGGAACGTGGAAGTGCGGCGCGGGCGCTGATGTGGCACTCGGCGGCTGCGCGCCCCGGACGGCTCGGGGCCTAGAGGGGGTGGCCGACACCCAGGTCTTGCCCCCACCCCGGCCTCGTTACGCCCCTTCATGTAGACAGACCGTTCTGTTTAAACAGGATGATGTGTAGCCGTTTGGGGGCTGAAAATAAGGCGCGCCTGGTGCTTGGCATGGAAGAGGCTCCAGGCTGCCCACGCCCCCAAAGGACTTTCGGGCCACGCCTTGGGATTGCTCCCTCTTCCCTTTCTCCAGGGAGCAAATAATAGGGCCCAAGAGCCTGCTCCCTGGGAAGGGCATTCTCTCTTTCGGTGGAAGGAAAACCTTAACGAACCCTTCGTTGAGATCCTTATTAACCAGAATTGTAGTTGTCTCTCGGGAGATGACCGGGGGTGGGCATGAGAGTGGTCTGGCAGACCTGTTTGGTTTTTTTGTGTTGAGTGATGGCTGTTGCAGGGAAAAGAGAAATTATTGCTTTGTTATTTGAGAATTCTGAAAGGACTGCAACAAAAGTTGCTTTGAACTTGGTAAACTGGTTGGAGGGTGAACCGGTTTTTTTATTAGTTGGTTAGGAGGAGGGGAGGAAGGAAGAGACCTGCAAATCAATTGCCATTATAATTTGTGCATATTGACCTCATTAAAATAATAAGATGACAAGAGCCACACTCCTTGGGCTGCACACCATAAAAGGCACCAGATCCTGCATTAAACCACTTTTACCTGCATTATCACATTTAATTCTTACAACCACCTTATAAAATAGATACTAAAATAACCTCCACAACCCAGCCCCTATCCCAGCATGCCACAGATGTCTGCAAACATATGTTTGCAATTCTCCTTCACGGATACATAAACTCATCTGCCATTTGCCATCCCTTCAGGGGTCAAAATTTATTGTGAGTGTCCAAAGCTTTCACTACAATGATACTGTCTTGTTTGTTGGTCTATTTGTCAGCTATTGCTGTGCAACAGATTATCACAGATTTAGTGCTTCATGCAACACATGTATATCACTGCACAGTTTCTGAAGGTTGGAAGTCCAGGCATGGCCTAACTAGATCCTCTGCTTATGCTCTCAGATGATGCAATCAAGTTGTCAGCTGGGCTGCATCCTCATCTGTAGGCTCTACTGGGGAAGAATTGCTTCAAAGCTTTTTCAGGTCATTGACAGAATTCATTTCTTTGCAGTTATAGGACTGAGTTCCCAGTTTATTCCTAGATGTGAGCTAGAGGCTGCCCTTAGCTCCTAAAGACTGCTCTTAGGCTCTCAATGGCCAACTACAGTTCTGAAAATCCAGGAGGTAGAGATCACATGGGCCACCTACAAGTCTGTCTGCCACAAGTGGATAGTCAGACACCTCAGTTTCAATCGACCTGACTGCAATGTTATCATAACTCTGTAAGACCCCAAAAATGCAGGAGCCTGCTCACCGTGTAAAGTGGCACTACATGAGTGGAACCACAACACTCTAATCCTTCTGGCAGTCAAGGAAATCCATGAAGGAGCAACCTTTGAATATGGCCCTTGAAAGTAACATGTCATGCATTTGGCTTTCTGAATCATTTGTAATCTCACAAAGGTGCACTTTTTATCACAAAAGCCACTCAACAATGGGCTGATATTCAAGGTATTGATACCTTCCACACTCATTACCATCAACAGCATCTGATATTGACCAAAAATCTACTTAAAAAAAAAAAGAATCCCTCTGCTTTCAGGAAGATGGAGTAGACATCAGTATTCCATGTCTCCTGCTAAGCACAACAAAAAATCCTGTACTTTATATATTCTCCAACATAAGAAGACTCTCCAAGAGATTGAGAGAAGACAGATGAACTAGAAATCTCAGAACCCAAGGGAAGACATGATGCTGAGTTCCCTGGGCTTCCTTTTTGTTGTTTCCTTGTCCCAAACTTGGAGCTGAAGAAACCAGTAACCCAAAAATGGCAAGAAGCACAAACCAAAAAGAAAAAAAAAAAGTCTCAACGAAGCCTGCTGTTTCTAGTCAAGGACCAGGAAATGCGAAGCTTAGAAAGACAAAAAAACTTTTAGGTGGTAATGGCTCTACTTCAGCCAAACACCACAGGAGAAACCCTGGCCCCACTCACTCGTACATGAACAGAGGCTGAGTAGAAATCCGAGACTCCTGCCTTTTCCAGGTTACCACAAGGTGACGATGCAGGAAGTCCTTAACAAAGTATTATCAAATAGAATTCAGCAATATAGAAAAATAATTATACACCACAACATAGCAGAGTTTTTTCCAGGGATGCAAAATCAAAATTCAAAAGTCAATCAGCCTGGGTGTGGTGCCTCACGCCTGTAATCTCAGCACTTTGGGAGGCTGAGGCCATCGACTCCTTTGAGCCCAGAAGTTTGAGAACAGCCTGGACAACATGACATGACCCCATCTCCACAAAAAATATGAAAATTAGCCCAGCATGGTGTTACGCACCTGTAGTCCCAGGCACAGGTGGGACTGAGGTGGGAGGATCACCTGAGCCTGGGAGTTTGCAGCTGCAGTTACCACTGCACTCCAGCTGGGGCAACAGAGTGAAACCCTGTCTCAAACAAACAAACAAACAAAAAAAAAACAAACAAACAAATGTTAATCAATGCAATTCTTGACACCAACAATCTAAAGAAAAGAAAAATCCCCTGAATATATCAATCAATGTAGAACAAGCACTTGACAAAATTTAGAACCATCAAAATTCTCAGAAAAATAGGAATAGAAGGGAATTTCCACACTTGATAAAGAACACTTACCTAAGTACCTACAACTGACCTTATACTGAGTGTGAAAGACTGGATGCTTTCCATACATACTTTGTAATTCCATTTATGTAACATCCTTCAAGTTACAAAATTAGGCAAGTGGAGAACAGATGAGTGTTTGCCAGGTATTAAGGAGATGATGGAGTAGGAGGGAAGTAGGCTTGGCTATGAAAGAACAACATGAGGGATCTGTGGGGTTGTGGAAATGTTTATTAACAGCATGATGGTATCCACGGGATATTGCTGAGATATTGAGATGTTGTAATTCTGCAGAATGTTACCATTGGGGAAAACTGGGTAATGAAGCCGCAGGCTTTCTCTGTATTGTTTCTTACAACTTGCATTTGCATCTATAATTACCTCAAAACAAAAAGTTGAATTAAAAAAATATTTCTGACTCTACCTTCCTCACCTCCTCCTGGCCCACACAGTTTGGTAACGCAGTTTAGTCACTGGATACAGCATTCTCCAGAAAGGGATCATCTTGCTTAGCTGCTTCCTGGATCGTGTCCGAGATGAAAGGAGCAGAGGGTTATGAAAATTTTGGATCTTGGTCTGACCATTCTCGGGCATGATGTTTCTTTCTTTCCCTTAATGGTAATACTGGTCCAGCTGGGCTGGTGTACCCTTCAGAGTAAGGCTGGACAAAAGGCTAGGGGATTCTAACTTAATTCTGGTTCAGTCACCTGCAGTCTCTTGTTGGACTGACCTTGTCCCAGATTGTAAAGGTAATGAACACTTAAGAGCTGAATACACTGCTCACTGAGTCCTCCTGTAGTAGCCTGTGCAGGCCCCAGTGGTGGGCATAAGGGATTTCCATAAACTTTATCAAAATGTACTACCCTTCCTGCACTTGACCCTCTGGGCTTGGTGTGACTAGGGGACGACTGGGGTGAAAGGAAAGCAACGACCCTGACACATGAGAAAGATACACCTTAGACCCTGCGTTAATGACACTCTCCCAAATGGTGGCAAGTACCTTGAATTTTACTGTAGTTTCGCCACCCTGTCAGATAGCTCTAACAGCAGTTCGATAACCATTCCCTTAACCTTACCAAGAAGACTGCTGGTAACATCAGAGGATGGCCCCAACCAGTATACTTCCCACACTAAGCACCTATCAGCACCTCTGAGTGTCCTCTTCACTCCCATTCTCAGTCACTCTGCGGGGTAAACAAAGGCCACTCAGCCAGTGGCACGGACACACAGGACAGATTGGACTGGTTACCCTCAGGCAGTCTTTCCAAAAACAACTAGCCTCAATTATTCTAACTTAACTAAGAACCCCAAGACTTACCAACTAGCCAAGAAGCCACATTGGAAGAACCGTCATTTGTACTCCTTCCCCCAACCCCACTAATGTGGGTTCCCTGAGGGCCCAACAATTGTCGACATCCCTGGTCTTTCTAGGGGAACCATGTGTATCCCAATATAATTATTCTTGAGAAGCCTGGCATTAACTTGCCTCCCTCCCAAAAACATAGTGGGCTGGGACTGGTGGCTCATGATTAGAACTTTAGGGGGCTGAGGTGGGAGGATTGCTTGAAGCTGGGAGTTCAAGACCAGCTTGGGCAACATAACAAGACCCCATCTCTACAAAAAATTAAAAATTAGCCTGGCATGGTGGTGTGCACCTGGAGTTCCAGCTCTTCCAGAGGCTGAGGCAGAAGCGTTGCTTGAGCTTAGGACGTTAAGACTACAAGGAGCACCACTCCAGGCTGAGCAACAGAGGGAGACCCTGTCGCTTAAAATAGCAACAACAAAAACCATAGTGAGTGGCATCTTGTTGTCATAAGAGACCTCCTAGCATTTAAAGAAACATTACCAGCAGATTATGTAACTTTCAGATCACCGTAGAGACCTCTTTAAAAGGTGAGACTACCCTTGGTTACTTGGAGAAGCTTCCCAAAGGGTAAATGATTCATTACTTATGCACACCCTTCTGGCAGTTTTTCCAACAATGGGAGTTGTATAATTAGAAATGATGGACCAGGTGCGATGGTTCTGATCTGTAATTTCAGCCCTTTGGGAGGCTGAGGCAGGCAGATGGCTTGAGCTCAGGAG